TAGTGTGTCCATGTCTTTGAAATCACTATCACTACTACAATTTTTATTTTTGATTAAAATATATTGCATACCTCTGCTCTTTTCGGTGGCTATGTCTGCGGCGGCGCCTTCCCTTTGCGTCTCCCCATCACTTTTCTTCTCCCGGTAATGGAGCTCCCGCGCATCAATAATTCATCAGACCGATAATAAAATAAATCTGAAAACTCTCTCCCCCCCCCCTTTCCCCCCCCTCCCCTATTACTTGTCGCGAAGCGGACGCGGCGCCGCGAAAGTCTTTTTTTATTATTTTTTAAACTGCGCGCCAAATCGGCCGATGAAAAGGATCGTTAACGCGTGGCGCCTCCGCCGTCTGCTGGTTTATTATTTCCGGCAAAGACGCTAATGTCTGGGCAAATCAGGTGGGGCGTGACGGAGCGTGGCGGGCGTGTGGTTGCTGGTAACGCCTGTCGCCTCCTATCACAGCTCCTGTAGATTATTAGTATTTTCTCTTATGGAAAATGAGGCTTGCTGCCGGTTCAGACACGAGCAATTTCGTTGCCGTAACACATTTTTTTTTATTTATTTCTCGTTTTTTTTCTATTTATCATTTCGCTCACAGGCGGCGCGAGCTGCTGCTCGGCCGGCCTATGTTCCTCTAGTCTTGAAATAAATTATAACGGTGCATGAGCGCGGGCGCGATCGATTTTGATTAAAGAATGAGGTCAACGACGCCGCGCCGCGCCGTAGCGTACGGACGGCTACGACGTCGGAGCCGCGCAAGAATTATGGACGTCATGGCTTTGACGTGTGTTCCGCGGATAGGATACAACCCTTGTCCATCAATAGACCACCGTGGGGTAAGAGAGAGGGGGGCAAGTGCTGTATATAGTGGGACACGTGTCGATGCCCGGCTCGCTGGGGGGCGACTTGCACCGGAGCAATTATGCAGCGTTACACGTATGTGCTCTCCCCCCTCTCTGCTTCCCCCCCCCTCTCTCTCTCTCTTCTCTGCCCCGCCGGCGACGATTTCCTACTGGGCGTGACGTGCGTGCACAGCAGTGGGTCACCCTCCTGCGCAGTCGTGTCCGGCGCGGACCTCCCTGTGCCCTGCCTCGGCCACACGTCCGCGCACTTTGTGACCTATCGAGAAGTGATATCGTGATAGAGATTGATCTGGTTCGATGATTGCCGCGTCACGTGATGATGTGCCCGCGGTAACTCATCTATGGGGTGCATCAATAGCAAGTACCGGACTTGTGCTCCACGTTTTCCCCCTACAGTCGCCCTTCTATACCCCACACACATACGCCCTTGCACCACAGTCCCATCAACATCGTAGGGGGTGGCAACCCCAGGCTGGCTAACAGACGCATGCATACATTCATATCGGCTATGGTCGTGCCATGCAGTTGCCCTGCTCTCTCTCCCTCTCCCTCCCTCCCCCTCCCCTCCCCCTGGTCTCACTCCCTCTGCCCCCCTCTCTTTCTCTCTGCACATACCCATAACACAACATGCAGGCCGGGAGTGGAATTCCAAAGAGGGCGAGAACACGTGTCCTAGTTCATAGTGAAGGTACGTTTCAACATTCATGTAAAGAATGTTTTGACTCTTTTAAGGTAAAAAATAACCACAAAAAAAAAAAACGCGTGGAGTGCTAAAATCGGCCTCTAAAAAGTCTGCGGAATATTTTCACGGCCCTACCACTCCTCCGCAAAAAAAGAAAAGAGCAACATATTGTAATCGTCCCCGGAGAAGAGAGGTGTTTGTGTTAGGACGTGCTGCGTGCTTCTCTTCGAATGACTGCACTAAATTAATACAGCAAAAATTTTTAAAAATTCTGTTTTTTTTAATCATATAAATCTTAAGCTTACATTATTTCCCTTATTTTCATACCCCGCAAGCGACCTTTTTTTTCTCACACAAACGTTGTCCTCAAATCGCGCCGAGTCTATTTTGCTTTCTCGCGCACCACAGTGCACACGCTACGTCCGCACATACACACACTCTCGCTCTTTCTCTCTCTCACTCTCTCTAAAGCACAGGATGGGGGGCGGTCAGGCTTCTCCCTGGTGCGAGAGAGACAGACAAACAGTCATCATCACGCGCGCAATCCGCGAGAGCAGAGCGCGCCCTCCAGTAAGTGGCAAAACAAACTGGCTGCTCTTGGTGGGGCGGGCGGCGGTGGGGCGGTGGCGTGGCAGGAGTTTATGATTGATGGTGGGCGAGTGGATGAACGGCGGCGCTGCGGCGGCGGAGCGACTCGTCAATGGGGCTGGAACGAGCGCCGAGCAGGGCCACTCCGCGGCGACAGATTGCACGGAGTCTTCTTCTCCAACTTGAGGCGGGGGCGAGCATGATGTTGGCGGTGGAGACGCGGGGCCGGCACTCCTTGCAGCAGATAGCTCCCTCCTCCTGGAGGTGCGGCGCCCCGGCTCCGGTGGGCGGTGGTGTGCTCGCTCTCAGAGTCCCTTTCTCCACCGCCGCCGCGCCAAACAAATAAACACAAAACGATGCGGGGGAAATGAGAAACTCGGCGGCACAAAAGGAGACTTGCGGGGCGCGAGACAAAGAGGCGTATTAGTGGGGGACGGAGCCAGTGCCCCGTGTGAGCGTGTGTGTATGTGTGTGTGTTCGAGCGTGTGTGTATGAGCGTGTGTGAGCGTTGCTAGTGTGGGGCCAAGAGGAGAGATAGCGAGTTTGTTAAAGTTCCTAGCAAATACCGCTCTCTATTCACTGAACCTTCCCCTTTTACCTTGCGAAATAACCGCGTCACCTTCAACCAGCAATCGCCACGCTCGCATCACAAGAATATGTCGGTGGTTCCGCAATAATTTTGTACGGCTTTCCTCCCATTTTGGTTTTGTTTTTTGTGTTTTTGAAGCTGTAAACGCGGTGAGAGGACACCAGGGCACATTTTTGAGAGAGTCTGTTGCTCCGGCCATTCGGACGTTTTTAGTCGTTTATGCAAATAGGGACGAGGAGGTCTCAGGTTGCTCTGCGAGCTGCAGCGGCGGCGGTCGCGGCAGTGCCGGAGAGGAGCGAGCAAGGGGAGGCGGGGAGGAGCGAGCAAGGGGAGCGGGAGGGGCGCGCCGCGCCGTCCGGGACGGAGGAAAACAAGTTATCTCGCGGAAGCCGAAAGATATTATGGAAACATTGAGGAGAGTAAACAGACTGGAAGTGTTTGTTTAAAATGTCGAAGGCGCCATTATCGGAGGTGGGGAATAGTCGAGGGGAGAGCTGCTGCCGCTGCCGGGGAGACTGATAGGGAGGGAAGAGGGTGGGGGGATACCCTACCGCCCCCGCTTCCCACCTCCCTTCTCGCAAGGTGCACTTTCTACAACTTTACAAAATTTATGGCAAATTTCAATTACTAACACCATTTCAAATTGTACATTTTGTAATGCTAATTAATTGTAGGGTGATTGAGTCGAATTTGCAGTTTTCAACTGTAAATTACGAGTAAGCCGCCAACTCCTTACAATTATGACGTAACGCTTTTTTTGAGTATCCGCAGAGTTTGTGTAGTGTGCTCCGCATTCCTCTCAATATTTTACTCTCTTCTCCCACATTCCGCGCCGCTGGGCTTCAAATTGCTCCTGGCTTTTATTAATGGAGATCACGCGGATCAGGAGGATGCAAATGAAAACAGTGTGGTCTTTGTTAGTATTTTTTTTCTCTGGAGTTTTCACAGCGAATTTGCGCGTCCAGGCGATGCCCAGGGAACCTGCGTGTCTAGTGGCAATAAAAGTGCGCCTCTTCGTGTGTGGACTTCAGGCCAAAGAGACGAGACAGACAGAGACGGAGAGATGTGGACCGTTATAAATGCCTGGTCACGCTCGTCTCTTTACTGTCTGAGTTCCCGCGCACTCCGAGCGAGCCGCCGTAGCTCTCGCGACGCAAAAGGAATGGATTTGAAGCCGTCCGCCGCCCTCTCTCTCTCTCTCCATCTGCGGCGCAGCGGCGCGAGTCAACAGACGTGACCCCGCCGTCCATTCGGCACGGTCTGTTGATTTAAACGCCCCGCCCGGAGCGCGCGCGCGCGCCTTCTTTTGAAGGGCCAATCAAATTAATTTAAAACTCCTTCTCTCTAATCAGGACAAAAGGACGATGGCGCGAGAGGTTTTTGCTGTGCTGGCTCGCGCGCGCTGGCTTGAGAAATCTGTGCCGGTCGAGAGAAAGAGAGAGAGAGAGAGAGATCGGATCGGAAGAAAAACCACGGTACTTATCGGCAAAGTTGTCCGTAGAGAAAGAGAGAGACGGAAGAGGGAAGCGAGGGCAGAGATCGAGGGAGGGAAGTTTCTTTGCCGTCCAGCATCCAATGATCTTCCTATTGTTTGATGCGAGAGGCCCGGGCCGGGGCCGGTGGTGCCTCGGCCTGTATTTGTGTTGCGGCAACTTTGAGTAACGCCGCTCCTCTGTCCCCGTCGGCGGGGGAAGCGAAAGGGGGAGGGGGGCGATTCTGATTCATCTGGTCGCTCGCCGAGAGAGAAGTGTTTCTGCATTTGTTTGACTCGATTTCCATCTCTAGGAGAGTGGGAGAGAAAGAGAAGCAGGACACAGAAAACGAGGAACCGCCGCGCTGGTCGTCGTTCGGGTCGGGGGCTGAGGCGAGGCGATATATAGAGAGCAAAGCGAGTAGAGAGAGAGAGAGTGAGAGAGATCCAACAGTGGGGCGGTGAGAGAGATGAGGGGGATAGAGGGAGACAAATAGACGAGGTGCGACTGCTGGTTGCCATTAGGTGATGAGTTGGTTGCTCGCAGTCGCCCGAGCCAGTGTCACGGAGCCCAGTGTGAATGGAGCTTGTTGATGCCCTGTGGCCTTTTCTTTCAGGACCTTCAAAAAAGGAGAGAAAAAAGTAAAACGAGATTTTTCAAAGTGTAATATTTTAATGGGTGTTTTGTTTCCTTCTGGTTTCAGGCACGAGGTACGAGCTGTACTACGTCCGCGACGGCGTGGTCAACACGTACGCCCTGAGCTTCAAGGTCCCCGTCCAGGCGGCCATCCAGAACCTGACCTTCCACTGGCTGGCGCTGGCTAAGCATCCGGTGAGTAGTATACGTGTGGCATTCTGACGATACATGGAAGAGTAGTACAGCTCGCTGAAACAAAAAAGTATATACGATGCAATATAAATTGGGGATATGGCCATCTTCGTTAGGAAAGCTCAGCAAACAAAGTGAGCTGGAGGTCCTGCTCGCGCTCGCTGCTGCTAAGCCCCTCGAGGGGCTGTGTCGCCCTCTTTAGTTGTATTACCCCCGACTATCCGGCTCTTTCTCCTCATCCTCATGAGGACGGCCATGTCGAAGCTCGGCGGAGGCCCCCCCTATTGTGCTGTGCACTGCGCCACTCCCCGCCACTCAGAGAGACAGAGAGAGACGAGAGACACTCCTCGGTTAAATATCCTGCGCGCTGCTGCGAGAAGGACTCGAATAAGCCCCTCTGCAGCACGCGCCCCCGGCCAAGTATATTTCTCTCTCCTCCCCCGCTCTGCCCTCTCACCCTCTCGCTCTGTCCTCCCTCGCTCTGCCCTCTCGCTCTCATCCTCTCGCTCTCTCCTCTATCGCACTCGCCGAGCCTCCCGCCGCGCTAAGGCCCGCGCCAAAGGTACAAGGGTTGCGGCAATGAATTAATCTCTCGATTAGGGTACATTACGCGTTCACCTCCCCCCCATCCTCCTCCGCCCGCGCCACCCCCCGCGGCCCACCCGCA